GGCGGTTTTTTTTTGGTTTTTTTTTACGGTCCCTCCAGCAACCCTTTTGTTTTTTTTTTGGGCGGGTTTTGGGGGGGGGAGTTTTGGGGATTTTTTTTGGGGGCGTGCAAGCGGGGGGGTTTGTGCCCCATACCCCCTTTTTGGCCCCAAACCCGGGGAAAAAGGGGGTTTTTTTCAAAACCCCATTGAAATCCCATGTCCCCCCCCCCCCCCCCCCGCGCCCCTGGAACAACCCAACCCCCCCCCCCCCAAGCAACATGTACAACCGGAGGGTCCTCGCGGGAGAGTTCGCGGTGGTGAACAAGCACCTCCTGAGGGACCTCACCACAAGGGGCCTCTGGACGCCTAGCGTCCGCAACCAGATCATCGCCGACCAGGGGTCGGTGCAGCGTGTCGACATCCCGCAGGACCTCAAGGTGTGCGCCAAGGCTGGCGTTGTTTTTATGTGAGGGTGGGCGGCAGTACAGCAGTACAAAGCGGTAGTGGTCCAGCTATGTTACCGGTAGGGTGCCAGCCCCTTGAATAGCGGCAACCGGCTTTGGACCGCCTACGCAGGATTTTAAGAGTATCTAGAAGAAGGATAGGGAGGGGGCACGCAGACCCTATCCCTAACCTTAACCCTACCCCCAAAGCACGGATTGAGTACTTTATCCCATAAGGTTGCTTTGTCAATTTTGCTGCGTAGACTACTATTATAGCGGGCCACCGGCATTGTTCAGAGTACATATGAAACAACTTGAATTTTCCACCTGCGTCACTCAATTTCACCGGCATTATGGGCAACCGGCATTATTCAACCCACATTACTTTGTGATCGCTTCCGAAACGAAACAAGCGTAGCATAGCGTGGGTGGACCGGGGTGTGTGGTGGCGGCGGAGACGTGTGCTTGCGAGGAGAAAACGTGTGCAGTAAGTCGTGTTGGTGGTCGTCGACGTTTGCGGCGTGCAAAAGCGTTGTTTTGCTCGTGTGATTACCGCGGGACTTGTTTTTGACAACTCATGGTCATGCATGGCTGACCGGCTTTGTCGGTGGGGGGGCGCGTTTTTGTACACCCCGGCGGAAGTCAAGGCGTCGCAGCTTTTGAGAGGGGGGACGGAACAGTCCTGTGGGCACAACATGATCCGCCCGTCTCTCTCCCACTCTCTCTGTTTGCCGTGCCGGTCAACCCCCCCCCCCCCCCCCCCCCCCCCCCCCGGACCAGGG